AGCGTGATTTCGGAGCCTCAGGCCCTTCTCAGGGATGAAGCGACTAGGTTTCGAGGCCATTGGGAGGCCCGAGCTACGCCTTCCCGACTGAACAGCTTGTTGTGGGATTCCCTCCCGCTGATTCCCATCAGCACCCTCAGTCAGGTTTCAGAAACGTTTGTCCATAGGTCGTCCGTGCGACCGCAGGCCGCGCACGCCGCCCAGGCCCGCCGCGGCTTCAGGTGACCGCAAGCCGCGCACGCCGCCCAGGCCCTTCAAGAAGGCCCGCAGTGGCCAGCCCTGAGGAAGTGGGCAGTGCGGGCCTGGAGGACGGATTTCGCATGCGTCGCGTGTCTGCCTTATCCGACGGGGCTCCGGAAGCCCTGGCGAGCCTCGTGAGGCTCCTGGAGCCCGCCGGGGCGGTTGCCGCCCCGGCTTCGCGCGCGGCGAGCGCTGCGCCGCTCCCGAGGCCCACCTCTGGATCTCGTCCAGCAGGCGTCTTCCCCAGAGTGTACAGTCGGGGCCCTGAACAAGGAACCCTTTTCGTTTGGGAGGGGCTCCGCGTTCCTTCAGTGCTGCACAGCTTGCCTCAGGCTTTCCCCATGCATTCGATCGGAAATCGAAGGCTAACTTATGGAAAAGGGGCCTCGTTCCTTATTTATGGTTCCTTAGGTCAACTCCCCGACTGTACCGGCTCCGGGGCAGGTGCCGCAGGGAGTTCGCCCTCGCCTGGAAGGGCGGCGCACACGCGCCCGTGCCGGACCCCCGGGCTGCACCAGTCGGCCAGCAAGGCGCTGTCTGGAGGCAGGCGGCCAGGTCACTGAGCAGGCTCGGTCTCGGTCTCCGTCGGCCTGTGCCCTACCGTGGAGTTTCGTGGCGCATGACGAGGGGATTCCTCCTGAGATTGGCTCTGAAATGCGAACGCCATGGGTCAGCCACGCGCAGAGGGGGGTGGGGGGAGGGGGGAGGGCTTCTTAGAAGCACCCCTGCTTCTTAGAAGGCACGGGCCTTACCTACAGATGTAAGAATGGCGCCTTCTAAGAAGCAGCCTCCTTCTAAGAAGCCCCCCCTCCCTCCACCCCCTTGTGCGCGCCGCCAAATGGGCTTCTGCCAGCGATTACCGCTTTTTGCTCAGCAGGGTACACGTGTGTTCGCCGTCGGTGCTCGCTGGAGCCGTTTCGCATCCGACGCATGCTCGCGTCGGCATCATTGTAGGACGTAGTTTTGCGACCACCCACAGTCGCATCTTTGCCCTCGACGGGCTCAACTCTTCAGTGGTTCCTCCTTCGCTCTCGCTCGACGCCTACACCGACGATGCGGGGGTCAAGTGGGCGGCTGAGGACAGGGAGGTGGCTAGAAGTTGTTGCGAGTTTGCCTCAAACCTCGAGTCGGTTATGGGGGGGCATGTTGCAGGCTACGATCGCCTTGGACGTAATTGGCTTGGCCTCGTCCTCGAAGTCTCTCCCCCGCCTGGTGGAGCGCAGGCTATGGAGTTTGCCTGGCCAGCACCAAGAATCCATCGTAAATCTCGGCATAGATGATGCTGCTGCTGACGCCCTTCAGGACAGAGGGCGCGACGCTCGAGCTAAGCTTCGCGCTGCCCGCGCTGGACGGCGCGCTGGCCGGCATGGGTCGCAGCGGGCCGTTCTAGGACGCAGGGCGATAAAACTATGTGACGAGCCTTCTGCCAGGTCTAACCCACTGCAGTGAAGTTCACGGTTGCAGCGACGGTGAATTGTTTAAGGTTCGTAGGATGCGCGCGTCTACGATGAAACCCATTTCGGGGGGCGGGAGTTTGACCATCTTAAGCAGACTCGAAGGGGGCACCGCCTGGTTCGGAGCGGCGCCCCCGATCACCCGACGGTCGAAGGAAGTCTGGGCGCGACGCATTCGCGCGTCTGACCGCGTTTTAACTCCAGTTTAGCTCCGTTCCGCGTGGAACGATAGTTGTCCTAGCGCTGGACGCGACGTAAAGTTGGGGGCCCCGTCCGTGCGCTGAGGCTTCCGGTGGAAAGGGTTGGCTGGATGATGCCCTCCCCTCACGCGTTGATCAGCAGCCTTGGGGCCCAGCACACTCTCACCCCCCCACCCCCCCTGCCCTCTCGAAAAAGCTTTGGGGGGGGGCGGCGGAGGAGTCTCGAGCGAGAAGCCGCCAGCAAGCACGGCGGAGGGAGGGCCCGCCCAGCGTTTTGTCTTGACGCGGTTTCTTCGGCCCACGGGTCCACGACACTCACTGCTCGCCAGGGAGGAATCACCAGGCGCATGGTCCGCCAAGGACTTCGTCCTCCCGCCCGCGCAAGAGCCACGGGATACGATGCGCCCGACGAGCGCCTGCTCTGCCACGCACCCAGCGGCACGATTTCTTCATCGTTTGCGGCAGTGCCCAGCAGCAGAGGGGAAGAGGAAGTCCATCCTGAAGGAGGATGTCTCATCTGCTGTTCTAAATGACCCCGGCGCCTGCAGCGAACTTGCCTTTGTCTCAGGTCTGTTCGAACAACCCCGAGATGCGCCCCACCCCCGCCCCCATTCTTACAGCTGGCGAAGACGATGGGCCCGACGGAATCTGTTGAAAGCGTTTTCCCAACAATTCTACTGCCGGGGGTCTTGCCGCGCCCGCCCGACGGCTCGCGCGAGCTCCAGGGCAAAGCTGTCCTGCATGGCTCTTGCGTGAAATCTCTGGTTCGGGACGCGTGCCGCGCGGGATGGGGCATCGCCTGTTTCGGCCCTGGAGGGAGTTTTCTAGCCATGGCGCACGGGCCTGCGTGGAGCAGCTGTCCGCAGACACCAGGCGGGAGAGTTTTCCGCCCACGCCGTTTGCGGCGCACTGCTGGCCAAGCCCAGCGATGTTGAGGCGACTGCGCCAATGTGGTTGGCATGCACGCTCTTCTCGATCACGCGCGCATTTCGCCTGACCGACCGCATGGGGGGCCAGCGACACAGGGGCGAGCGTCGGAGGGGAGCAACTCTTGGCTTTGAAAGAAGGTCCAGGCGCACCGGGCCCTTGACGACCTGAATCTCTCTCCTGGCGAACGTGAACTCCGAGTCGGCAACGATTGAGCCGATCGCAGAGCCAAACTCGGAGCGGCATGGCACATGTCCGCTGCTCCTGAGATCTCGGCTGGCCTCGATGCGTCGGTTTCATGGTCTGAGTATACCGTCTGGCTGGCTGCAGAGGTGCCCCCGACGTGACCCAGGGCCGACTTGTCCGAGGTCCCTCGGTCCAACCCGCGAGCTCCTCACGAGGCCTCTGGTCGCCACGCGTGGGCCTGATCAGGCCCGCCCGGCGGCACTGAGCGTACTCGGCAGTGCTCGACTCGTTTCCGCGCCGAGCGCAGTCCCAGTCACAAGCTGCCCTTCCCCAGGCCGCTGCGCTGCGACCCCTCAGATCAACGCGCAGCAGCCTCGGGATTTGAATCACACATGCGTAATGTATGGCTGTTCGAGCGGCTCTTTCGTGGCCGTTTGCACGGAGTGCAGATGTCATACGTCTGGCGCTCGGCTTGCCTAGCTCGGAGAGCTGTGCTCGGGGCGGAGGAAGGGCCCCGAGACATGCAAAGACAAGCATAACCAAGACTCTTGGAACAGGGCTGCAATGGACTACATCGAAAAGAAAAGGGGGGCCACTTTGCTCTCAGACACCTTCAGCTCGCTTTAGTCATGCAGCGTGGCCGTCGTGCTCAACAAATCCTCCAGTTCCGCAATGTTTCACAGAACCCTTACCACGACTCGCCCTCCTGTGCTTAGGCAAAGGCTCTGTCGCTGATCGCGTTTGGTTCGTTAGCTGCGTTTCTGTGTTTGCAGCATCCAGACCCACGGGCGCGGTGTCAAAGTTTTCCAGACAAGTGTGATTGTCCGTGTGTTTAAATGTTCACCATATATGGGGTTCCCCTTCCCCGCGTTGCGCGTATTGCTTGGCTAGTTGATTGCACTTGTTTGGTTGTGTTTGCTCGTGTGCATTGATTGGCTGCGTTTGCTGGTTTCCCTGTGTTCGGTTGTTTGCGCTGGCTTTGCCGGGTGGTCTAACACTGCTTATTCGTTTGCCTGCGACTTCTGCTTAGCTTGCGTTTGCTGGTTTGCGCCCATATGCCCGCCGTGACTCACGCGCGTTCGTGCCGATCTGCTTGCCTGCTCGTTCCCACCGCGCTGCGACGTGCGTGCACGAACGGCGTGCGCCTGCCAGTCGGCGTCCATGCGCATCCGCGGCCTGCTTTGCCGACTCGCCTGCCCGATCGCTCCCACGTGCTGTCTCTGCGGCTCTGCGCCTGCTTGCCAGCGCCCGTGCGCATCCGTAGCCTTGACTGACCCAGACCCCCGACGTCATGAATTTTTCATGACGTCGACCCCCAGCGGTCTGGACCCATTCCCCGGGACCGGTTTTTCGTCCTGAGTCGTTGTTTGACGGTCCCGAGGTCCGGTAAGGGCCCCCGGAGGCCAAAAATAATGAAAAACCTCCCGTCGTGATTTTGTTCATGACTCGAGGGGGTCTGGGGAAGCCAGCCGAGGTGGCCCCCCAACCCGGCGCGGACGCGCCCCCCGCGCGATGGCTGGCGTCGGCCCGCTGGTGAGCGGGCCCGTGCTGGCCGCCGCGGCGCCCGCGGCCCCACGGCGCCCGCGGCCCCCCGCCGCTCTGCCGTGGCCGAGGCCTGGCCGCCCCGGCGCGGCCTCCTCGGGCCGGCTCGGCGCCCCCGCGGCGGCCGCGCTCTGCGCGGGGGCGGGCCGCGCCGGGCGCCCGCGCCGCGCCGGGCGAGGGCTCCGCAGAGGCGCCCGCGCGGGGTGGCGCCGGCGCCTCGCGGCCAGGGCGGCCAGCGCCGTGGCAGAGCCCGAGGTCCTCGATTGCGCGTTCGAGCGGCCTCTTCGCCGGAGCGACCTGCGGTGCGGGCCCCGAAGGGGGCCCCCCCGGCCGCCGAAGGGCGAGGCGCCAGCAGCGGGTCGCGCGCGGGGCGGTGCCTCCAAGGGGCCCCCCCTCGGCCGCGCACCAGAGGTCGCTCTCGCCCAGGGTCGCTCGTGCGCGTGGCCGAGAGGTGGAGGGGGCCAAGCCGGGGGGCGGCGTGCCGTGGTTGCAGAGGCACCTGATCGGCCTCGAGCAGAGGGATCGGGGGGCAGCGTCGAGAGGCGGAGGGGATGGGCCCAGGGGGAGCGACAGCCGAGGCCGCGTCAGAGGCAGCTTTCGAACGGTGTCGGAAGTCGCTCCAAAGTTTTCGATGCCCCCGATGGTTACCATCCGCTGCGCCTTGTCGAGGGCGTCCCAGGGTGCTGGAATCGTCCCGAATGCATCAGCCCAATCGCCGCCGATAGGGGCCCGACAGCCCACCCCGCCCAGGAACGCGCGGATTCGCTCTCGCGGGCATATCACCGATCCATCGGCGATGGAACGCCGATTCTGGGTCGATGGTTCCCCCATGAACGGGCCCCCTGGTTCCCCTCAAAGGATCCAGGGGCCATCGAGGAGTGTTTCTTCGCGGCGGTGGCGGAGCGCGGGCTGGTTTTGTACAAGAAGCAGCAGGAGGCCATACGGGAGATCTTCGCTGGCAACCACGTGGCCTTGAGCACCCCAACGGGCAGCGGGAAGTCGTTGGTTGGCACCGCAATGCTGTTCCGAGCCGTGGCGGAGGGGCGCAGGGCATATTACACTTGCCCCATCAAGGCGCTGGTGAGCGAGAAGTTCTTTGATTTGTGCAGGGATTTCGGCCCGCAATTCGTAGGTATGACGACGGGCGACGTCTCTATCAATCAGACGGCGCCAATCATCTGCTGCACCGCGGAGGTCCTCGCGAACGTCGCGCTGCGGGATGGGCCAGTCGCCCGGGTGGACTTTGCCGTCATGGACGAGTTCCACTATTACGGCGATGCCTCCCGCGGCTTTGCATGGGAGCTGCCTTTGCTGCGCTTGCCACAAACGACATTCCTGCTCATGTCCGCGACGATGGGCGACAACCCTGGGCTTTTCGCCATGGTGCAGTCGCTCACAGGAGTCCCAGTCAGTGCGGTCTCCTCCACCGACCGCCCAGTGCCGCTGGACTGGGCCTACAGGGAGCTCAAGGTGATCGACGCCGTGGCAGAGCTGGTGCTGGAACAGAAGACGCCGATCTACGTGGTGAACTTCACCCAGCGAGACGCGGCCGAGCTGGCCAGCAAGCTGGTAATTGAGGAACAAAGAATGACATAAACATAAATTTTCGGAGGTCCGCGCGGATTTCTCGGATCGGCGCTGGAGCCTCCCTGGCGGCGCCTCAGGCGCCGCCCCTGGCGCGCTCCGCGCGCCAAGAAGGGGGAATGCTGCGCCGATTCGAGCAATCCGCGCAGGCCCCCAAAGGTTTGTGCTCATGCATGCCATTATTGCGAAGGCCTTGATTATGGCCGGTGCCGCCGACCCCGAAGGGAAACGACGACGACGACGACGACGACGACGACGACGACGACGACGACGACGGCGCTCACGAGCCCTCGTGGGGGCCCTTGTGGGCCTTGCTATCTGTTCCCCGAGGTCACCCGCCGCGAGATCATCGCGCTCAGCGCCGAGCAGAGGGCGGAGCTCGACGCGGCCGTCGCCGACGTGCGCTTCGACTCGCCCTACGGCGCCGAGGTGCGCCGGCTGCTCGGCCAGGGCGTGGGGCTCCATCACGCGGGCCTGCTGCCCAAGTACCGGCTGCTGGTGGAGCAGCTCGCGCAGCGCGGCCTGCTGACCGTCATCTGCGGCACGGACCTCGGGGAGCCAAGGATCGCATGCTCGTGCGCGTTGGGCGGCAGCAGCTCGTCGATGGGAGCAGCTGTAGCCCCACGAGGTCCGCGCGGATCTCATGGCTCGGCGCTGGACCCCCCCTCCCCGGCGCGCGGAGCGCGCCGGGGGCGGCGCCGGAGGCGCTGCCAGGGGGCTCCATCGCCGATCCGAGAAATCCGCACGGACTTCCGACAGTTTATGTTCATGCTATTTTCTTGGCATCGTTCCGACGTGTGCACTTTGTCTCGGCGAGGGTAATCGAGGGGCAGATTGGATCATCTCATGAAAAAATAAACGCACGAAATCAACAAAAAAATGCACGGGGATTGCACGTCCGAGCGATGGCGAGTTTGGGGCTCCTCTAGGACACCCTGGGGGTCGGCGTGAATGTGCCGATCCGCAGCGTCCTCTTCCTCGGAGGAGGGCAGGCTGAAACAACGGCTGCCCTCCCGCATGGCCCAAATCGGCTCAACATGGACCCCAAACGGTAAATAATTGCACTGTGGCTGTGTAAGCTATGTGGTGCAGGCTATGTGGTGAAAGCTACAGTCGGGCCGAGGTATAAGACCGAGGTCGGTTTGGGGAGGGTACCCTAATTTTCCTCGGGTTCGTTGCAAGCTCTTGTGCATCCGTGGGAGGATACCCTTGGATATTCTGTGTGTTTTGGCCAGCGGAGGGTCTCAGGTGCTTGAAGGATTTTATTATGCCCCAGGTCCGACTGCATGTGATGCAGCATACGCGGTGCAAGCTAGAGGCGGCAACGGGCGGCAACGTAAACCTCGCCAGAACACCCAGCGCACGAGGCGGCAACGGGCGGCAACGTGGCGAAACTTCGTTGGACACGTCCAATTCTTGAGTAACCGAAGTGAGGACCCCTCAGTGCCCCCCACAAGTGCAACGGCTGCCTCGGGAAGAACTGCACGAGCACATAAGCTTTCGGAGGCCCGCGCGCAGGTTATTGTTCCTGCCGCCGCTTGTTGCTCTATTGCCGGCCCGCCCCAGATCGGCCCCCGAGAAGCCCCCGAATGCTCCCAAGAGGCCCGAGGAAGCTCCCAAGATGCCCCCAAGAGGCCCCGAGGACTCCCAGGAGGCCCCATGAGTGCCCCAAGAGGCCTCCGCCTCCTCCTTTTTCCTCCCTCTCCTCCTCCTCCTCCTCCTCCTCCTCCTCCTCCTCCTCCTCCTCCTCCTCCTCCTCCTCCTCCTTCTCCTCCTCCTCCGTTTTCCTCCCTCCCTCCTCTTCCTCCTCCTCCTCCTCCTCCTCCTCCTCCTCCTCCTCCTCCTCCTCCTCCTCCTCCTCCCTCCTCCTCCTCCTCCTCCTCCTCCTCCTCCGTTTTCCTCCTCTCCTCCTCCCCCTCCTCCTCCTCCTCCTCCTCCTCCTCCTCCCTCCTCCTCCTCCTCCTCCTCCTCCTCCGTTTCCTCCCTCCCTCTCCCCTCCTCCTCCTCCTCCTCCTCCTCTCCTCCTCCTCTCTCCTCCTCCTCCTCCTTCCTCCTCCCCTCCCTCTCCTCCTCCCCTCCTCCTCCTCCTCCTCCTCCTCTCCTCCCTTTCCCTCCCCTCCTCCCCCTCCTCCTCCTCCTCCTACTCCTCCTCCTCCTCCTCCTCCCTTTTCCTCCCTCTCCTTCTCTTGAAGATCGGTGCCGGGGCCCCATGCTGGAGCCCACCCCGGCACGCTCCTCGAGGCGAGCCCAGCCGTGGCCGACGGGGAGCCTCCGGGGCGGCCCCCCGGCAGAGAGGGGCGAGCCGGGCGCCGGGGAGGGCCGCCGGGGTCTCGGACTCTCGGGCCGGGCGAAAGGGGGGGATTGGGAAAGGGGGGGTTACGAAATTTGCTGCATGCAGCTGGTTTCGGCCTCGCCGAGGGGCCTATTCCTCGATACATCGCCGCCTCCGGCGCCGGGAGGCGCCGGGAAAATCAGCTACGTGAGCTGATTCTCAAACCCCCCCTTTGCTATCCCCCCCTTTTGCCCGACCCGAGACTCGGCGGGCCCGCCTCCGGGCCTCACGAAGCTCTGCAAGTACGACGGGGAGCGGACCGACATCCTGAAGGCGCGGAGGCGGACATAGAACATAAATATCAGAGCGTGAATGACCTCCCCCGCTTTTTCGCTTCCGGGCAAAACCAAGTCATGCCACGCGCCTCCTCGTCAAGCGGCCTGACCAGCACAGGCCGTCGTTTGGCATCGTTTGGTATCTCTTGGAAGCGAGGGTGGTCAAAAGCGAGGTAGGTTTGTTTTCCCCTAATAAACACAAAAACATAAAAACACAAACATAAAAATGACATAACCATCAAAAAAACTAAAATGGCAGAATAACAATAAAAATGCTGTAAGCATAGAATGGCATAAAATTACATAAAACGGCATAAGCATAGAACATAAACATAAAAACGTAAATATTATAGAATGTAAAAATGGCATAAACATAAAAATTCTGAGGTCCGCGCGGATTTCTCGGATCGGCGCTGGGGGTCCCCGGCGGCGCCTCCGGCGCCGCCCCTAGCGTGCTCCGCGCGCCAGGGAGGGGGGTCCAGCGCCGATCCGAGAAATCCGCGCGGACCTCCGAGGTTTTATGTTTATGCCATTTTTTGTTCCCCTAGGGTAGACCTCCTACCCTGACGCGTCGATTCAGGAATTGGCCGTTTTCGGTTCGCGAGAGAGGGCGTCGCCGCCGTCCTTTTTGCGGGTCCAGGTCCGTCGGGTTCGGTCCCAGGCCGTTTTCACCAAGGGGAGGTTTACTAAAGGGAGGTTTGTCCACCGCTGAAAGGCGCGGGATTTCCACCAGATCGCGGGGCGCGCTGGGCGCCGCGGCTTCGACAGCCAAGGCAGCGTCGTGGCGGTGCCGCCAGAGCACGTGGTGGCGAACCTGAAGGTGGAGGCCAAGATCGAGGAGACGAAGAAGCCCAAGGAGAAGACCAAGCTCAGGAAGCGCCTCGAGAAGCCACCCGAGCGCAACTACAAGGCGTGGGACGAGTCCACGTTTTTCGATCTGAGCACCAAGGCTCCAGAGCCCCTCGTCTCGCAGTTCAAGCTCAGCCAGGGCATGGTGCTGAGCTTGCTGCAGGGCGCGCAGGAGCACTGCCGCGACGGCCTGGCCGAGCTGCACGAGCTCATCTCCTTGTCGAGGTGCGGGAAGGACCTCCTGGGCCCCCCCAAGTGGGGTCCGAGCAGATGGGGTCGCAGGATCGCTCCGCATCGCCGATGGCGCCGATGCATCGGCGATGCCTTGGTGCATGGGCGATGCGGCGCGACCCTCTGACCCCATCTTTCTCGGACCACTTTTGGGATGCCTTTAGGATCGTCAGAAGTACTGGGCGGAGCAGGTAGAGGTGTACATAGACTCGCTGGTGGCCGCACAGCTCGTCGTCAGGGGCGACAGCGGCGGCATCTCGAGCGTGAGCGACACTCTGCAGAGGGACTTCGTGCTCCTCGAGGACGTGTCACTCTTCGTCCTGGACGTGCTACCCATGCTGCAGTGGGATGCCTCCGGGGACGACGACAAGTTCGCGGACAGCCTGCTCAGCGCCGTGGAGGCCGTGCGGGAGAATCCGATGGCCGTGCTGAAAGCCCAGAGAAGCGAAGAGCGCCAGAAGAAGGTAGACGCGCTCAAGAAAGAAAAAATGTCTTACGAGGCACGCAGGTATTTGGTCGAGCGCATCCAGCTCGAGACGGCCGTGCCCGTTGGCAAAGTGTTCACCGACGCCTTTGAGGCCTTCGCGAAGAGCCACCCCTGGGTATCGCGCGATGCATTTCATCCGAAAATTATCGCTGGAGAGATGTACAAAGGCGGCCATGGGTTCTCCGAGTACGTCCGTAAGCTTAGCAAGAACGACAAGTTAAAGCTAGTCATGAAGCAGGAGGGCATCCTCCTGCGGTATCTCACTTCGGTTCACAAGACGCTGCGGCAGACGATCCCCGAGGAGTTCAAGACGGACTCCGTTCTCGAGGTGGAGGCCTTCCTGCTCGACGTGATCAACACCACGGACTCCAGCCTGCTGCGCGAGTACGAGTCGCTCAAGCTCTTGGAGGTCGAGGTCGGGGAGGACGACGTGCCTTCGGCTTCGACGTCCCTGGATCGATCGCGATGGGAGCGGTCGATCGATCAAGGCTCGATCGGGCCCTCAATCGGGGCCCAGGGCGGTCCACTGGGCCCTCCCGCCGGCAGGGCGAGGCAGGGGCGGCCCGCGCTGCGGCGTGGCCCCGGGGGCCGTCTCGGTCCGGCTCGGGATCGGGCCGGTGGGTCGGCCTCGGCCGTCGGGGCGCGGTATTCCTGGGCACCCTCCTCCGGAAGGAAAAAAATCAGGAGTGAGAAAAACGCACAGACACAATTAAGCGTCGATCCCCAGGAAAAATTGGAAAAGATGGGAAGTGGGGGGGAAGACAAAAACCCAGAAAATATTGGAAAATATAGGGAATCATGTTATTTGTGTGCATTTACTTGTGTGTCCCAGGGCCCCTTCAAAAAAGACATTCAGAGGACGGGAAACCATCATCCTTCAGAAGAAATACAGCATCGTTCATCAGACACCCGCGGGCCCCGTGAGGCCCACACACCTTGACATGGCTTGCAGCAGTGTCTGTGAGGGTGGCCCTTGTGCCGCGGGTGCCGCAATCACTGAGTAAGGGAGCAGGAAGGGAAGTTGCTGCAACGCGCACCAGAACTCGCCAATCTTCGAACTGGAGGTCCCGACCCCTTCCCAGCAGGCAGTTCTTCGCACCTGTGCCGTTTTTGTTAGCTTGGGGGGCCCGGAAATGGCCGCCGATGGGCCGAAACGGAGAAAAGTTGCCGGGACAGGCAAAGTTCAATTCGCCATGCACAGACATCCAGCGTCTTGATTTTCTGCCTCTGAAGACCCGACCCCGACCACCAGGCCCAGTTTCCACTCCAGGTCGTTCTTTGGTGGTCGCTGGGCCTGGCGAGGGCCCCCCCATGCCGAATATTATGAGAAAATCTGGTGTTGCGTACTAGGGGGTGGTAAATGCGGGGGGGGGGGGGGGGGAAAACGTATCCCTTCTGTACCCTCATGGGGCCCTCTGCGCCCCACAAGGGGCACGGCAGATGGGTCCCTGCGACCCGCAAGGGGGCACGACAGGGGTGCACGTTCCCCCCCTCCACCCCCCCCTTGACCGCCCCCCCCCCCGCCAAGCAACGGCCCAAGGGCAACAAAACAGCAAAAGCCGCCGTGGCCTCTTCGCCGCGCGAGGGGGGGTGGGATGTGCCTGGGCTCCCGAGGCCCTCGGAGGTGCTGGGCGCCCGGGTGGTGGCCGCGGAGCGGGCGATGCGGGCCTTGGAGGCGCCGGGCCACGCCAAGGGGAGCTCTCACCACCGAGGGGGCCGCCGGCTCCTCCCGGGGATGGAGGCTCGAGGATCGAGGGCCGACGAGGGCTGGGGCGCTGGCGAGGGTTTTTTCGGGCGGTTCCGGGGGTCGTTCGGGGAGTCCCTCGTGGGCGAAAGACATACCCGTGTCAGCGGCCTCGCGGGCCCGCGGCCCCGCGGATGCGGGGCGACGAGGGTGGGACCATGTCAAGCGTTTTCGGGCGGTTCTGGGGAGCCCACCACCGATCTGGGCCTCCCAGATAGGGTCCGGGCAGGCGGGGTCCGAGGATCGCGCGGCATCGCCGATGTATCGCCAACGCGGCTCGATGTGGAGCCCGATTTTCCCCACGCCGACGGCGCCGATGCACCGGCGATGCGGCGCGATCCTTCCGCCCCATCTACTCGGACCCCATGGTGGTGGCTTCTAGCCAAGGGGGTTGCCAGCTCCTCCTGAGGATCTAGGCTCGAAGCTCAACGGCCGACGAGGGCTGGGACGATGGCGAGCGTCTTCGGGCGGTTCTGGGGGGCGTTCGGGAGTCCCTCGTGGGCGAAAAACATACCCGTATCCGCAGCCTGCGACCCCGCGGATACGGGACCTCTCTTCGCGGATGCCCCGCGCGACACGTATCTGTACGACCGCGTCTCCGCGGCATCGTGCCCTGGAATCCGGACCGCGAGGGCGTGGATTTGGCTGCGCTCGCCGCTCGTGAGCCCCGAGGGAGACAGGCGTCTTCCCCGAGGAGGCGGTGGCCCCCCTCGGTGGTGACCCCCCCATTGGCACTGCCTGGAGGTGGACGGGGCCGACGCGGCAGCCGTGGTGGCCGCCGCCGCCGGCGCGGCCCCAGGCGAGGCCTCGGGCGAGCGGCCGGCCGAGGCTCGCAGGGGCATCTCGGGGCTCACGCACCGGGGGTCAGAGCTGACGGGGGTCGGCCAGGGGCGAAAAGCCCAGGGGCGGGCATTACACGCATTCGCCCGGGAGCCTTTCCGAAGGCATAGATCGTCGGCGCACCTGCATACACGTGTTGCTCTCTCCTGGGCTATTCGCCTCTATCGTCGCGTCTGAAAGAGTGACCTTTCGCCCGAGTGACCTTTGGGGCACACTGGGGTCCCCAGATGATGGGACGCGTTGCGACAGCAGCGTCCAGCCCACTCGGGCTTGGCCTCACCGAAAGTCGCGCACCGAAGGTCACTCTTGCCCGGGGTCACGCTTGCGTGTAGCGTACCTCGGGCCGACCCAGGTCTGGGAGCCACGTGAGGTATGCCAGAGAGGGCCTCGTCTTCGAGGGATCGAGGAGTCGGCAGCTCTTGCTCGGCGGGAAGGCGGCAGCGGAAGGGCGGCGGAGGTAGAACGGGTGCGGCTCCGCCGGCGGAGGCCTGCGGAAGGAAGAGGCGCGCCTCCAAGAAGCGATAACAGTTTGGAGTGAAGGGTTTCCAGAGTCGGCCACGTGGGGCCGACTCCCCTTCTGCCGCCCTCCGCTGACCCGGGCTCGGGAGCGGCAAGCGACGGGCGGGCTTCGCGACAATGCCTCGGCAGACCCTGGTTTGTTCTAGCCCGGGTTACTGCGTGCCCAGGCAATGGCAGGGCGGGGATTGGACCGGGGCTTAGGCGCTCGATCATGGAACCCTTGCTACACGCGACCATCCAGCGCTCGCGCCGAAGATCGCCCAAGCCCGATTGGCAACAACGGGGCCCCATCTCTCCAGCGGAGTCCACACCGAGCGAAGAGGGCCTCCGGACGGCTCCAGAAGACTTCCAGATAGCTCCAGCCAGTTGAAGGTGGCTTCCAAGCGACTTCAGGTGCCCCACAGTGTCGCCAAGACGGTTCCGAGGGGACCCCTGGTTACCAGGGACTTCACGAGGACGCGACGTTGTTCGCGGCTCGCGATTCACGTTTCCTCATCCTTTTCCTCCTCGTCCTCTTCTATCCCTGGGAAGGGCGGAGCGAGCGCGCGAAGTTGATCGCGCAGCGCGAAGCGCGAGAAGCGCAGCTGCCTTTGTTTTCACAGGCGACCACCCAGCGCTCGCGCCGACGACCGTCAGAAAACCGATCAAGGCCGCCCAAGGCGGGTGGTCAACAGGCCCTTGGCTTGGCTCAGGGGCCCAGCCCGCAGTCTTACGGCCCCCAGCGGCCGAAGCGATGCTTCACCCACGGAGGAGAAAAACATAATAAAACAAACAGTGGGCAACGATCGAAGAAGAAAAAACGCCATAAACCTTTGGCGCTCCACACGGATTTCTTGGATCCGCGCTGGGACCCCCTGGCGGCGCCTCCGGCGCCGCCCCTGGCGCGCTCCGCGCGCCAGGGGGGGGGTCCAGCGCGCATCCAAGAAATCCGCGCGGAGCGCCAAAAGTTTGAGTTTATGGCGTTTTTTCCCCACATGTTTAGTGGGGTTATGGTTTTCTTCCTTCCCGCGTCGCACCCGCGTCTCCTCACCCTTCCTCCTCCGCCTCCTCCTCCTCCTCCTCCTCCTCCTCCTCCTCCTCCTCCTCCTCCTCCTCCTCCTCCTCCTCCTTCTCTTTCTCACACAGCACAGCGCAGCACAGCGCAGCGCAGCACAGCACAGCACAGCACAGCACAGCACAGCTCAGCACAGCACAGCACACATCACATTGACACACAGCACGTACACAACACAGCACAGCACAGCACTGGTCGGCACAGCACAGCTAAGCACAGCACAGACCAGCTCAGCACAGCACAGCACAGCACTGCGCAGCACAGCACACACACACACACACAAGCACGCAAACACACAAACACATGACACGCACACCACGCAACACATGCGCGCCAACAGGAGGTGCGCAGGGGGTTGTCCCTGAACGCGGTCTCCACACGCGCCAATGTCGCAGGGTCTAGCAGGCGTGGCACTTTCTCGACACCAGAGGGGGTGCACAGCGGGTGGTCCCTCAGCGCGGTCTCTATACGTGCCAATGTCGCAGGGCCTAGAAGGCGTGGCACTTTCTCGACACCAGAGGGGGTGCGCAGCGGATGGTCCCTCAGCGCGGTCTCTATACGTGCCAATGTCGCAGGGCCTAGCAGGCGTGGCACTTTCTCGACAGCGGAGGGGGTGCGCAGGGGGTGGTCCCTCAGAGCGGTCTCTATACAGTGTCGCAGGGCCTAGCAGGCGTGGCACTTTCTCGACACCGGAGAGGGCGCGCAGGGGGTGGTCCCTCAGCGCGCTCTCCATACGCGCCAATGTCGCAGGGCCTAGCGGGTGTGGCAGTTTCTCGACACCAGAGGGGGTGCGCAGGGGGTGGTCCCGCAGCGCGGTCTCTATTCGCGCCAATGTCGCAGGGCCTAGCAGGTGTGGCATTTTCTCGACACCAGTGGCGGTGCGCAGGGGGTGGTCCCTCACTGCGGTTTCCATACGCGCCAATGTCGCAAGCCCCAGCAGGCGTGGCACTTTCTCGACACCGGAGGGGGTGCGCAGGGGGTTTGCCTTCAGCGCGGTCTCTATACGCGCCAATGATGCAGGGTCTAACAGGCATGGCATTTTCTCGACACCGGAAGGGGTGCGCAGGGGGTGGTCCCTGAGCGCGGTTTCTATACGCGCCAATGTCGCAGGGCCTAGCAGGTTTGGCACTTTCTCGACACCGGAGGGGGTGCGCAGGGGGTGGTCCCTGAGCGCGGTCTCTATACGCGCCAAAGTCGCAGGGCCTAGCAGGCGTGGCACTTTCTCGACAGCGGAGCGGGTGCGCAGGGGGGGGTCCCTCACCCCGGTGTCTATACGCGCCAATGTCGCAGGGCCTAGCAGGCGTGGCACTTTCTCGACAGCGGAGGGGGTGCGCAGAGGGAGGTCCCTCAGCGCGAGCGCGGCCGCTATCCGTCACGGTCGTCCAGGGCGTAGCAGGCGTGGCATATTTTCGACACCACACGGGGTGCGCAGGGGGTGGTCCCTCAGCGCGGTGTGGACCTTTTGGCGTTGTAATCGTCTCTGTTGGCTGGCACGGCATGTCAGGCCCCCAAGGGTTGAACTGCGCCGCCTTCGATGTCGGCGAAGCAACGGCCACGAGCAACATGCCCGCAAGTTCCACGTCAGCTACCATGACGCAAGACGCATGATAAGTATGTGGGGTTCCTCAGTAGCGTAATTTCCCTCCTGAACGAGGGGCCCCATGGTCGAATGCGCAGCAGCGGGAGGAGCATCGACACCCCATCGCACACACCCGGCCGCTCGAGGCACCGGGCGCCACGGCCCGCCCAGAGGAGCGTAATGAGAGTGGCCCCCGCTGGGGGCCGCCATCGGTGCATCGGCGACGCATCGTCGACCCCCTCGAGTCTAAGTCGGGCGTGCCCCTCTACAGGAGGAAGATTCAAAAATAGTCCAAAAACACTCAGGGGACGATTTTTCTATTATGTTTGACGAGTTGGGCATATTTTTTGTTTTTTTGTTCGTAGAGTTCCTCCAAAATCCGACTGTAGGAGGACATGCCCGACGTAATTCGAGTCATGATCCAGCGGTCACTGCTCCCAGACCCCATCGAGTCTGGAACAAATCACGACGGGAGGTTTTCCGCTACTTTCGGCCTCTGGGGGCCCCATTACTTGGCCTCGGGACCGTCAAAGGGCGACCCAGAATGAAAAGCAATGGTCCTGGGGACTGGGTCGGGACCTCTGGGGATCGACGTGGTGAAAAAAATTAGACGTTGGGGGCCGGGGCTCCCCCCAAGCCAAGTGAGCGGTGGACGAAGACGGGCCGGTTGCGCCGTCATTCGCGCGTAAGTTTCCCGCGCAAGGTCGCGCGCAAGCGCCCCAGTTTCCATGCCGCGCTAGCTGCTGGCATAAGCCACCGTACAAGGTCGCTGTGCCATCGTGAGTGAGGCCAGACTCTTTTCGTCGATCCGTTCACTGCTCCATCCCGAGCCAAGTCCTTTCCTTCACTCCGGCTCCCTTTCAGGACCTGGCGTGGCGGACGCTGCGCTCGCGCGTGCGGGTGGAGTCCCTGCGCCTGGCGAGGCAGTTGTGCCGGGGCCAGTGGCAGGAGTCGGCGGGGGATCTCAGCGGACGACGAGCTGTACACGCCAGTCGTTGCAAGTAGGTTTTTTGGGATATCCAGATCCCAGTTTACTTAAGCTGCTTCCCTACTTCAAGAGTCAAACGGTTTTTCCCTCTTCCCTGCTCTTCAGGTGGTGGGCGGGAGCCCAATCTTCCTTCAACGCCTTCCTACTGAATGTGTCTACCCACTTGTTCCCGACGGACGGGTACGATGCCCAACAGCAGTCCTTGTTCATTTTGAACAGGGCTCGCCGCCCGCACCGCCGCCAGCGCCGATCCGAGGAATCCGCGCGGACCTCCGAGTTTTTATGTTTATGCCTCTTTTTGTTCCCCTGGGGACGCCAGTCCCGGGGAAGGGGTCGGGACCTCGGGGGGTCCACGCAGCGAAGCGGCCACGACGCAGGAGGTCTGGGCACGTGCCGATGCCGCTGCTCCCTTTGGGACCTCTCCCCTTGGGGGGGGCGCTCTCCCCTTGGGGGGGGCGCTGGACCCCCC